GCTTGCTGCTCAGCTGCTTATAAAGAAGAGCACCCCTTCGCTGCCTTCTCCTGTAAGTGCTGCTGCCCCAGTCTCTGTTATTCCAGAAGGATATGCTTCTTTCAGAATGCCATTGGTTGTGGTTTGGGCGGTTCTGGTCTATCGTTTGTGTTGGGGGGGGGTTATTATTGCTGCTCTCCCTGCTCATTCATGACAGGCTGCATGGATGGGCAGGGAGGTTTTTGCCCAGAACAGAACCATACCGCCAAACCAAACTTTATGTTAAATATCTATCATTTTGACGATAGTGGTCCTGACAGAAATTAAGCTTTAGCGTTAGTTCTGGCAGGTCACGTGAGTCAAGCTTGCATCAGCTGATTACATCTACCTATAGGAATACGACACCTATCGCGGCATTCCTATATAAGCTCTATTCAGTATTATTCAGCAGTTTTTCAGCTTGCTCCGGAGCAAATTACCCTCCTCCATCCCCAGCTCCACCTTTCGCCACAGTCAGGACTTAGCTTTCTGACATTCCTTGCTAATCAGACTCCTTTATCTTGAATAAAGTGTTACACTTAAATATCATTAAGTACATTAATGAAATCTGCTTTGTTCTGTTCTATTAACCCTAGGGGGGTTATTATTGCTGCTCTCCCTGCTCATTCATGACAGGCTGCATGGATGGGCAGGGAGGTTTTTGCCCAGAACAGAACCGTACCGCCAAACCAATCTTTATGCTAAGTATCTATCATTTTGACGATAGTGGTCCTGACAGAACTTAAGTTCACTTTTAAATACAATCATTGGGTGTACAAATCCTTTGACCTCAGTTTATATAATATTGTCTAGCTGAATCTCATTTAACATACAATTAAATTGAAATTGGTTAAATTATTATGGTAGGTTAAATTAATGGAAAAATAAACATTTTGACTTCCTGATCGTATCATTTCATATAATTGAATGTGTACCATGTAATAATTTATCATTTGTCAATGCAACTGTTGTTGTTGCTCAACACAGCTTTACAGAAATCAGTTTGCATGTCTCAAAATTCAGTTTCAGGAATCAGTAGTTTTTAATTTTCATGTACAACTTTATTGTGATCAACATTGAGGACAGGAGAATATTCGAGCTCCTAAAAGAAGAACATCACAGCTGATCTGAAGAGAGTTTAGGTTTCCCCATCATCATCATCATCTCTTTCTTATAGCACATTGAGCTGCAAATAAAACAGTTCATTACATCATAAAAACATCACTTTCCTATTCATATGTAATATATGCATTTTCATTTAAATAATCTTAATTAAAAAATCCTCAACATGTAACTAACATTCCTTTTCAGTTTTCCAGTGTTTATTTGAGCACACTCACTTGGCACAGCTTCCTTCTGCATCACTTCCTTTTTGGGTGGTTGAGACCACTGCAGCATCACGTCAGAAAACCCTCGTTCCACCAAAGCAGGCTGAAGCTAAAACGAGCAGATCTCTTAAAACTGCTATCAGTGTGATTTGATTTCAGAATGTTTTCCTTTCTCACCTGTGACAGGAGCTGGACTCTCATTTCAGGTTCAGACAGACTCAAACTGGATTTCAGATTCATCTTCACAAAGGTTTTCTTCAGTACAGGACCTAAAAGGGCACATGAGAGTGAACATACATGGACAGAATGGAAAAGAAAATGTTAAATGCAAATAAGATACTGTAACTAAAATACTGTATCTATAGCAATTTTGTGCAAATGCATCTGTCACTTAAGATTAAAATGATGCAATGAGAGATTGTGCATTGATCCTCAAAATCAATGTAAAAAAAAAAGAAAGACATTAAATACAGGTTCACTTTCAATAAGGATGGACATGGTTTAGTGCCAAACACAAATGTGTTTTATGTAATGAATTATTGACTGTTGAGAGCATGCAACTCTTGAACTTTAACATTATTGAACAATACATTGTATTAAAAAAATAAAGCCGTTAATAGTTTCCCAAAACACAAAATCTGCTTGCTTGATCCCACCTTCTCCATAGACCTCCACCTCACACAGAGTAAGAATCCTTGAATCTCCAGGAATGAACAGACTCACATATCGACCATCCATATTGTTACATGTGTAGGTGGAGGAAACATCAGCTGGAATGCTAGAAATCACAGCACATCTAAAGAGAGACGGAGAAACCATAATTTAGACTTCTAGTCTTTCGTCATACATGTTTTCAGGGATTTTCATGGATATTAAGCAGCGGAAAGAGGGTCTCACATGGGATTGTTGTTGCCGTTGTTCTCCAAAGAGTTTCTGATGCGAATCTCTGCTCCGTCTATTTGTTCTGGACAGCAGTCTAGTCTGTTTGTGATGACAACTCTACGTACTCTGTAAATATAACGCAGATCCACCCTCCACCATGGGTTAGTTTGAGCAGTGGTTGAGGAACACGATGACGATGGTTGTATGAAACCTGGATTGAAATCAATAGCTTGTTGACCAAGCCAGGTGCCAATGGTTGATGACTGTGTGATGGTTCTTCCTGTTGCCAAATTACCTATAAGATGTCATAGTGTTGAGAAATGGTTTTAGTCAGCTTATTTTATACTCTTTGAATGTGCTTCAAATGTGAGCTCTCTAAACTGATCGAGTCTTGACAAAGTCATTTTTAAGGAATCACTCGGCTACCATATTTATTTACAGAACCTCCGAGCAGCTATTTTAGGCATCTAAGACCAAGTCCTGTCTACCTGAATGGGCAACTCGTGAAATTGCAAAAGAATTGCCTGTCACACTATGATTTAAATAACCTATTTCAATTTGGCAACAACATCTGACATGAACTGTTGTCCCGTATATGTTGTCTTATGCTCAAATTGGGTTATAAAGGCTTCTTTTCCAGTCTGGTCTAGCCAGCATGAATGTGCAGTCCTGTCTCAGGAGTAACAGCAGCTGGAGTCATGCATTGACTTTAAAAGTTAGCGATTGGCTCTTTTATTTAGAAGGTGGGACTAATTTCACCAAATTGAGCATTGTGCTTTCCATTCAAAATAATAAGCAAGCACCTTCTGGGTATATCTAAAGTGTTTGGACCTGATCTCCACTAGAACTACGTCTACAACTATATTAAAACTACTTTAATGAAAAGGGAATAGCTTTAAAAAAGTAAAATTATACTGGAAAGGCTTTAGACCAGGTTATTAAGTAGCTCTGAATTACCTGGAAA